AGATAGCAGAATACGAACGTGCAAACAGTTCAGACAGCTCGGATTATGACTATAACTCTGGATGGAGATAAGCTTGTACTATTCCACCTAACCGACATCATTCTAGCATATCATAGCCGGGTCCTGTTTCACCTATGAATAGGCTTTAAGTGTTCTACGAGTGTGTTGTAGGTGTGCCAAATAATGTACTTAGTTTAGGTGAGTTTTGTTTTATGTTGACAGAAGTCCAATAATGTACTCGTTCTAAGTGTGTTTTGTCTTATCTGGACCGTCGTCCAGCATGTATTCCCCAACGCCTATATAAAGCCATGTAATCCTTCGGTTTGAAAAAAAAGGGGAAAAGTTGTGAAATCTAAATCCTCTCACTTTTCACGCCTCTCTAAAAATCCCTTTCTTCAAAGCCTGGCATGATCCTCTAAGAAATGCAGCTCGGCCAGTTGGGCATAACATCATCCTAGTCACTCTGAGCGTCTCTATGCTCTGAGCTAAATCTCCGGGTAGTTTTGCAGCTAAAAGGCAGTTCCTGAAGGGCTCCCATGTGGAATAGCATACCTGCTGTAAGCTGACCTGGTTTTCCCTGGCTCTCAGCATAGATCCCCTCAGCATACCTTCTTTTTTTTTATTTTTTTTTGGTCAGATTTTTTTAATTAAAAATTTAAAAAATAAAATATATTATTATTATATTACCGGTCCGGTCCGGGTGGGCGGATCCACACCGGGAACCGGCCCAAACAGTACCGGTTCCAAAAAATTGGAACCGGGAACCGGACCGGTTCCCTTGGGAACCACCGGTTCCGGTTCGGTTCCGGACGGTTCCGGGCGGTCTGGGCGGGTCCCGGTTCTTTTGCACACCCCTAGGCGAAACCGGGTCTGCGTCGCGGCAGTCTCCCTCGGCGTTGACCGCCCCCGCCGCCGCCCAACCGTCTCCGTCGCGTCGCCGTCACGGGTCCTCTCCGAAAGCCCTTAGCTCAGCGCTGACGTGGGCAGTCAGTGGTGACTTCATCCTCTGCTGTTCCCACCATCGTTTGCTCCGTCAAATGCTGGTTTTTTCTCTGGCGGAGAGGGGTTCCTTCCTTCTTCGCTTTGGCCGAGGACGCCTTCGGAGTTTAAACTGCAAATCGAGTTCCACGTTTCGTTCTGGAATCCATTTTGCAGAGGATACATTTTGTAGAGGATACTTCCAAACCGATGTATACGTGTACATATACGGGATCTGACGCTTCACTCGGCATACATCATAAAACGAGAGGTTTTCGAATGCATTTACATGTTGTTCGAATAATTTTCCCATGTGAAATCTATCCACGTCGATGTAGAATTTAAGTAAAATGGAGAATGTATCTCGTTGCGCTGATAACACAGAGGATACGAAGCCAGAATTGGTGTAAAATAAGGGCTGCATTTTTACTTCAATTATATCTCTGATCGATGAGTTACAAGTTATGAACTTCGCCCACGTGCAAACTTAACTAAATTTAAAAAGCGATTTATGTCCATATGTAATTTGCGAACTAGAAGATTGATTTGAGAAAGTTACTTTCAACCAGAGATAGAGAAAAACATGGTCATGTACGGCGAGTGTTGCGGAAGTCAAGCGATCGAACAATAAAATTGACAGAATAAGAAAATAAATCGGACACCAGATTTACGTGACTCGGTCGTAGTGACCTACGTTCACGGGGAAAGCAACACGGAATTCCACTATAAATCAAGCGATACAACGGAAATTACAACTACACTCGAGTTACTTAAACACTCTCAGTGTTTCCCAAATCCCAATTACACCCAATAACTCACGCAGTGTTTAGCCCACAATTCTTTACGAAATAATCTCTTAATCTCGCAAAAGAATTATACACAAATCTTATCACAAGATTTACGCTTGAACACTAATTCTTCTTGGATGTAATTCACGAACGAGAATCCACGGAAACACCCATCGCCAAGCACTCACGAACGCGGCGCTTCCTTCTTCGTGCACAATAACAGTGCTTCTTGTTCATTTGCACGGCACACCAAGCCCTAGCATTAGGGCGCTTCAAGACTGTATCTGCCACGACATTCCTTGCAATATATATTCCGCAGCAAAAGAACACACAGTGGCCAACTCAATGTGGAGTAGGGGTGAGCAAGATGGACCGCTCAAACTGGGACCGGACCGACTGGTTTGGTCCGGTTCTCGGGAATATCGGTCCGGTTCTCTATTTTTAAAGTGGAACCAGTTTCCGGACTGTCCGGTTCTCGGTTCTAGGGTGGGCACCGGACCGGACCGTTAAATATATATTTTTCTATTTTTTTCATATATATTTATTCACTTTTAAAAATTTTTGAAAAAAAACCTAATCTAATTTACCAAATTTCCTTTTGCTTTTACTAATAAGTGATTAGTCCCATTGGAACCGAATCGAACCGAACCGAACCGATCCGATCCGATCCACGGTCCCAAAACTAGCCGGTCCGATCTCCGGTCCTAGAAATTGGGAACTGGTCCTCCCAATCTAGTTCCCAATTTTTGGATTGGATTGGATTGAATCGGAAACCGCTCACCCCTAACGTGGAGAAGATATTCCACGGTTCGGTCAACAAGTCCAAGTTTTGACTTTCCTATTTCGTCTTTCTTTGGCGGACTTCATATGGGATTTTATTTCCTTTCTCTTACACATGTTCATGATTGGCTTTCTTTCATAGTCAAAGTCCAACATCCTTTGGACTACAAATTGGAAATAAAACCGCCTACAACTAGTAAACGAAAATTGCCATACACTCGTGATTCCGAACTTGCATAGAAAATCCAAACTTCGGAATATGGAGACCTCCACAAATAATAATTAATCTCGAGTCGAATTTCGTCTATCGGACTCAAACTCGAGAGATATTTTAACATTGAGTTTGTACTCGCACAAAACAATGAGCCTGTCTTGGTCCAAAGTGCAAATGGTTGGGTTTGAAAAAGGGTTTTTCTGCCAAGTGCCCGATCCAACACGCCCATCGAATAGGTCTACTACCACGTGCCCACGGATCACAAAAACCTTTCGTGCAATGCACGTGTCATCTCTTGACGGGAGATGCAGGCACGAGAAGTCGAGCCCTACGATCTCATGGCGCTACGACCCTATAATCGATGCAACGGCACTATCTTGCGAGGCCAAGCCAATGGCAACTTAGATCGAATGTACATGGTAACGATCACAAAACGCAGTATAATCCAAGCACGCGCACACACATATATATATATTCATATCGATAACGATCAAAGAACATGTGGTGTTCGAGCCAAATTGAGTAATACATTTCAAAAGAACAGGTGAAAAAGGGGAAAGGGATTATTTACATATTGATAGAGATGACGGTACATGAATGTGAATCGATTGACATCGAAATGCACACACGCGCACGATACGCTGCAAAGAACGTCGACTTGGCAATGTGTTCGATTTCACGTGAATCGTCATTTATCTTCTTTCTATGCGGGAAGGAAATTCAGAACTTGGCTACAAAGGCGAAAACGAAGAGCAAATCCGACAAAAGGTCCAACGTCGGGCCCCAAAGAAAGAGAGCACCCGCTGACCAAGAGACAAGATGAGTCTCCGTCCACCCATTTTTTTATCTTTATTTTTAATTTTTTTTTCTTGTTGCTTCTTCCCTTAGTACGAGGATAGAACCAATAGCCTAGTAACAAAAGTGTCGCACAGGTCATAAGTTCGAATCATATCAAGGACGAACCTCTAATTTGCAAATAGATCATAGATCAATTTCTTAATTCATATATGTTAAGTTAAATTATTATATATGTTAGTTATATTTAGTAAATGGATCATTAATGAGTTTAAAATGGTAAAAGCACAAAATAATATGAGTATTAAATGAGTCATAATTGGGTTTACAACTCACTTAGACACAACCTACTTATAAAACTCTCTTCATTCTCTCTCACTCTTACTCACTCCGCGTTCTCACCTCAGTTTGGATATGAATTTCCCTAAATTGGGTTAAATACAGAAGTGCTTTAGTAATATGAATCGGATGGGGACGGGTATTACTCACAATATTTACATTGTATAGAAATGAGTCAAAACAGATTAAATGTGTCTATTTGGGTTGGACTATTCTCGACCCGACCCAAACCTAATCCAATCTACCCATTTGTATTGGCGGGTTCATATATTTATGGGTGCACCGAGCAGTTACGGTGATGACGCTCAATGGGGATTTTTGTGCTGATTGACCCCCATCCTTTTACCTATCAAAACAAAACGTACGACAAAAGTCGCATTCGGTACGCGCTTCTTGACAATACGCATCCCACCCTCACTTAGCAGCTGACACACATTTTAGCACGATAAGTCTAGAATAATATCAAATAAATTTAGACCATTATAGTAAATTGATCGATTAAGCAATATGATCGGTTTGATTGAATGTCGTGAGAGCAATATCGGGCCACTATCCATTTCCACGTCCCGTTACATTACACTAGACAAAAACGCCAATCCCGGAGAAAAAGCCCGAAGAATACGACACGGCACGACGTGTTTCACTTCAAACGCGAATCGATATGAATTAATACATCTTGGTATAGTAATCCAATTACCCGACACATGGAAATCAGAATTACGATCTTTTATGCCGACTTAAATTATAAGCACGATTGCGACACGTCCTCAAATACGTAAGTTTTGCAAATTTTAACTTTTTTTTTAATCATGACTACGGAAATGCACGTGTTACTTCCTTTCAGCCGCAAATCCTTTCCGGCACGTTGAAAATGTCGGTGCTTTGCCCCAACAGCAATAGTTTTTAAGGTCAAATCCAAAAGTACCCCCCCAAAAAAAAAAAAAGGGACCAATTTTCAACTAACTCGCGTGGGGCCCAATCAGCTTCCTCATTTCACACGTTCTCCTTCCCTTCCCGTGTAGAAACCGACCCGAGTGGGACCCATTCATTCGATCTCCTGTATATATCCATGTGTCCGTGTCTCCGCCTTTTGCGGCTTTTGACAGCAAAAAAAAATCGAAAGAAAAACATCTCAACCATCACCCGCGGGGTCAAATCCTCAGGTGTAGCCATATTCTTGATGAACATTTCCATGCAACTGCAATCGGACGTGCTGGTGCCGGAGCAGTCGTCGCCGTCCCCGTCGCCTTCGGACTCCTCCTCGAGCCGCCCCGCATGCTCCGACGAGGAGCAGGTCGTGGTGCTGGCGTCGAGCCGGCCGAAGAAGCCGGCCGGGCGGAGGGTCTTCAAGGAGACGCGGCACCCGGTGTACCGGGGAGTGCGGACGCGGAACAGGGGCAAGTGGGTGTGCGAGCTCCGGGAGCCCAACAAGAAGACCCGGATATGGCTCGGGACGTACCCGACGGCGGAGATGGCTGCGCGCGCCCACGACGTGGCCGCGCTGGCCCTGCGCGGGAGGCAGGGCGCGTGCCTCAACTTCGCCGACTCCGCCTGGCGGCTGCCCGAGCCGGCGTCCCGCGAGCCGGCCGAGATACGGAGGGCGGCGGCAGCGGCGGCCGAGGCGTTCCGCCCTGCCGAGGCCGAGGAGGCGGTCTCTTCGTGCGGCGAAGCCAGCGGAGGGAGCGTTTGCACCGGCCAGGAGGCAAGCGTGCGTGCTCCAGACGACGAAGACGGTGATCATAAGAAGGTCAAGCAAGAGACGGTGCGTGATTGCATGGAGATTGAAGAGACGACGTCGTTCGACCTGAAGAAGTGGCTCGAGTGTCCTCTTCTGTCTCCGACACCACATGATGCCGGCGCCCATTTTAGCTGGGACTACGATGCGGAAGGCGATCATGCAGATGTTTCGCTGTGGAGTTACTCCTTGTGATGACGACAACGTAAATTATGCAGCTTTTTTTTTATAAAAAGAATTCTTTTACATTGTTTTAGTTCCTCCTCTTGGCATCTTATTTCGATTTCATTGTATTTTCCCTATTATCAGCTCGTTACAGCGTCTCTGTGTGCCGTAGAATAGGCAGAATTCTGTGTCAACTGTCAATATGCTCATCACATGTATAACTGGAGTCATTACCGACCAGACAGAGAACAAGGGATAGAATAGAATCATAGAAAGAGTCTGACTTAGCCGTGGCAGCTTAGTCATTTTGGGACAGGCGAGCCATCTGTGTTTCATTTTCATTTTGGTGGAATCACTGTCTCATCCGTTGGGACTTCTGTTGTCTGATCAGAGCGATTCATCCTTTACTTTCTGAAGTAAAATCTTTGAATACTTTTTGTCTATACTTGCCTGTGGGGTTTATAAAGAGTTCGAGTGGTAATACGAGCGAGAAAGTTGGTCAAGCAGTAAAGGAATGCGATAGGTCGAGATAACCTCGCGATCGATCTTAAGGGCGCACACGCTTTTCAAGTAAAAGAGCAATGGAAGGAAATTTAGTGGGCGAATAATCGAGGAGGCAAAACTATAGTCAATTGTTAATACGTGAGCAGGAATAGTACATGTTTATGTTGGGGAGAAATAGGCAACCTTGTTGTTTTGTCGTGGTAAGGTAAGATAGGCCACGAGCTGTAGGACTGCACCGAGATGTCAAGAGAGATAGTTAAACAAGTAACAACTTCTTGGGGTTAGCATGAAAAGAGCATTTAAAAAAGAGAAACCGGCCCCCGCTTACTTCATAGGAGACTCGAAAACTATCATTGTAAATTGACCTGGTAGAATAACTGAGAAGGGTGCTTGCTAGGAATAAATAAAATAGAAAACAGTGACTGTTATGATGTTAAGGAATAAATAGAAAATGATAGCGCTAATATTTTATTGCAGTTTAGGCTTGACTAAGAACATAGATAGGGCTTTTCTCATCTTGTTTGGAACCACAGTAGGCTTTCTTCCATCAACAAAGAAGAGATGGATTAGAAGTCTGCCAGGGCTCTCAGAGATAGGGACTCCAGCGGACCAAGAACTAACCTAATTCATGATCAATTTCTATCCCAAAACTGAACCGACTAAAATTGACTTACCACAGCAACAACCAACAGTATATTCCAGAAATACGATCTCAAAACAAGTAAATATAATGCTGGAACAATAAAGGGACAAAAGCAACAACAACAGCAAGAATTTAAGTGGAAAACCCAATGCGGGAAAAGATCATGGACCGCTAAAAAAAACTTCTAATAATCATAAAAAATAGTAGGATACACAAAGGTTCTTCTCTGGTCACACACTAGAAGCTGCACATTAACAATACAACAGTATTTTATCACCACGAAGATAGATTAGTATAAATGGAGCATGAAATCCTAACCACGGTTGGATATTGCGAGGGATTACTTGGAGAAGGCTTTCAACGAACGGAACTGAGCAGCTCGTAGGTCTTGGTGTCACGATCAACATATTAGAAATTCGAGCCAATTCCGACAACGAGTGGCTGCCAAGGCTGCCAACATCTTCGTCAAAGCCGCTGTGTTTTTTTCTTTCTCCTCATGTGCGTGCTCTACTCGGTGAGAGGGCACTTTTTCGCCTCTCTCTTCTCAAGCGTGTGCAAGAGGAGTCCCGTCTCTTCAAATTTCTTTGCCGTTTGACCTTTTGACTTCCTTTTCTTTTTATTTATATTTATCTATGTTAACTTGGGGGGGACCGAGCCGACAGTTTTATCAGTGTCTGTTTAGACACTTTAATTACAGCATTCGACAAATCCCGATTTGTGGTGCGGAAAACCAAACAAAAACATGGGGCCCGCGAAACCAATGACAGCGGCGTACCTGAACTAGCGAGCAGCGGACCCGACCCGACCCGAGTCCGGGGAAGGAATTCCACGCACGCACGCACGCACGAAGGAATTCCAATGGGACTTGCCAGATCAGGCAAGAACATACGAATTGCAGGACGAAGATGAACAGTCCATGATGATATTGATTGGGCCTGGGCCTGAATGCCCTTTTGCCTTTGCTTTCTGGCCCATGTTTTTGCTCAATCGAATCTCTCTCTATGCCTTAGAGATGCGTTCAAGGCTTTGATGGGGAAAGAACACTCTTCACGAGAATTGGATAGGGGATGAGCAGATCGCTACAAAAGCTTTACAATATACTGAGGAAACTGCAACTTACGGATAGAAGAAGTAATGGTATTAGCCAAGGGTAATTCTGCCCATTTTCGAATATTAGATACCTATTGTGCATAATTGTATTAGGTGCACAGTTACAACAGTTTAAACAATGGATAACGGGTAATTCATACTAGGGGTGTGCAAAAGGAACCGACCGGACCGACGGGTTCTGAGCGGTTCCCGGAGGCGCCGGTCCGGTTTCCAGTTCCATAAAATTGGAACCGGAGATTTTCGGTCTGGTTCCAAGGGTGAAATTGCCCACTCAGACCGGTTATTTTTTTTTAATTTCTTAAAAATCTCAAAAGTAAACCGTAAGCCGGCTGATTTTTTTCCCCTGTTCCCTCCCTGCTGTTAAACCATTACACACCCAGTAACCTGCTCGCATGGATCTACTCTTTCTTTGCCATCTCTTCTTTCCTGGGAAAATCTTCTTTATTTCCCATTGGAACAAGAAAAAGGCTCTTAGATTTTCATGTTTCTGCCTCTCCTTCTTCTTGGTGTGTGTTATATCCTTTCAATAGGACATACTCTGTTTGGCCCTTGAGAAAAAACAGTGGGATTCAGCGAGCAATTTTGCAACTTTGAATCGCATACCAGTTGAAACTCTTTGAACGACATTTTTTGCCGGTGCATGCTTGATCATCTCGCGTTCTGTTCAAATTTGTGATTTTTGCTCGTGTTTTGGCTATGGATTTAGGGTTTGGAGGGAGGTTTAATTAGGTACTTCGCTGTGATCGGATCCATTGGACTATCTGGGAATCAGACCGGACCAACCGATCCAATTCCGGGAACAGATGGTCCAGTTCCCTATTCCTAGGTGGGATCAGATTAGACCAGAAACTGATCACCCCTAATTCATATGTCAGCAAGAACCACTTTCTGTCAAACCCTAATAAATATTAGGATGCACGTGTGAGTTGTGTTAAAAAAACTCCACTTCGGATTGATGTGGTGTAAAGCAGTTATTATATTTTAGTTGTGCCATAACTTATTGCTTAAGTTTTTGATTGAATGTGGGTCCAACTAAATATGTTAGTAAGCTCGGAATTGGGCTCTCTTTTGGCGATCTCCTTAAGCGAAAGGTATTGGATTTCTACTATGCGCTCCCCACAAATGGTATCAAAGATGATGGTCGATTGCTGGGGGCTCCTAATTTGTTTTGGTATTTGGTGGATAAAGCTGGATGTGATTTCAGGGCTGTGGGCGTTGTAGTGTAATAATGCAAGCCCAGTGGCAGATTTCATATCCTAATGAAGAAGGATACCTGGATTAAAGGGGAACAATCTAACACTAAGCTCGCATACAAGGAGAGGAAGAGAAATTGAGACACAAAGTTTTATCATGGTTCATCTTTAAACTAGGATTACGTCCAGCAGAAAATTTAACTATATTTAGCACCTTCCACCTCTCTCTTACATCCTTTAATTACAACAGAAAGAGAGTATATATACTTAGTAACTATTTATGGGCCTAAACCCAAAGTACTATTAAAATATAAGCCTAAATTATAAAAGCCATTTGGAGTCCGGGGGGCGGCGTTGCCACCTACAACCCCCGCCGGGGCAGCCCTCCTGAACCCCACCTCTCTGCTACATCTCTCAATTAAGAGTGGGACCTTGTGCTTTCTCGTTGATGGAGAATATGAACCATACCCCAACATTAAGATTCACAAGGAAATCAACAATAATGACCAAAATCAACTGAAATAGCTTATAGAATTTCACGCTGGTGCTTTGAAAGAGGTGGAAACAAAGGATTTCAATGTCGGAATCAGTACTCATCGATGGTGCTATTGAGGTCTTGTAGGGCTTGGAACAGGCTTTTTCTAATGTGAGGTCAGAGTCAATGTGGACCAAAAGATCATGGCCAAAAGTAAGGATGCAAAGAAGATTCATCTAGGAGAATGTCGCCTTTTGAATACCTCCAAAGATTCTTCAATAGTTGCTCCTATCTAAAAAAGAATTCAAGTAAATCTGATTAAGATGAGCACGTCAACATATTCAGATCTGTTTTTCAAAGAGAGCTCAATAGCAGATGTGGAGTTTGAAAGGTCAAATCTTTTGAGATTTAGAATGAGAAGTTAAAAGTTCTAATCTCTTCAAATGAGATTGAAACGGCTCGTACAGAAATAAGAGAAATATCGAGTTAAACCCTCGAGCGAAACTCCAAGAAGAATGGGCAGCTTCTCCACCTCTAATTTTTCCAAGGAAACCGGCCAACTTGTTTAACCGAGACAAGATCTAATCAAGCATGCCAAAGGCCAAAAATATCTGGGCTAATCTCGAATCTCCCCTTCACAAATTTTGTGGCTCTACACGTAAAGAAACAGAGAAAACACCGAGAAAAGCAGAGTAAACAAACAAATCTCTCTTTCTCTCTCTCTCTCACACACACTGTCATATCGTACAGTGTGCTCGTGAGGGGGGGAGGCCCGTGGCAGCGACAAATCGGCACCGATCTGCAGGTACCAACGTGCGCATTCAAAAGCCGCAGGTGTTTTCACTTTCTGCTTCGAAAATCTTCTCCTTTATGTAATCGCGAGGCCATCAGAAAAATGGACATGCACACGTGCTCAAGTGCGCGAAGTGTGGTCAGAGCGAGCACGGGAGATGGCAAATTGGCCGAATCCCCATCAGATTCTGCAAGGTCAACTCCCGGTCTCACTCCCGTCCAAAACCCCACGCACCCCATTCAATTCGGATTCAAGAGCCTCATTTTTTAACTGTTTCTTTGGCAAATCTCTGTCAAAACTTTCAAATCCGAAACATTAGAATAACCATACTTGAGATTCAAAAAACCCACATCGCCTCAGGCAGAAGAAGCTCGGATGAAGCTTCTCCTCCTCCTTCTCCTTCTTCTTTCACCGCTTCTTGTTCTGCTTCCTCTCTGTCAAATTCTGCAACAAAATAATGCAAGCCTGTCAGTTCAGATTTCTCCCACTTCACCTTGAGATCTTCATTGAGCTATAGCGAGGAACTTACCTCTCTGTTTCTCTCTCCCCCCCACCCTCCTTCGCCCACTATAAATTCTTTTCTCTCCCCTCACTTTCTCTCTCTCTCTCGACCATTTTTCTCAGCTTTAGCTTCAGCTTCAGCTTCGTTTCTTAGTGTGTGTTCTCTCTTTCTCTGTGTTCATGTACTTCTGACAATACAGTGATAAAGCAGTTCACTTTTCTGACGGTGAATTTATGGGAAAATCTTCCTTTGTGATCTCCTTTTCCGTGCGCATTCAGCATTTTGCCATAAATGCTTCTTCTGTTTGATAAGAACCCTTCACGAAAAGCGCTCAATCTCTGTCTCTCCAACAATTCCTGCCTTTTCTCATAAACCCCACTCGAAATCAAACCAAAGGACAGGGTTACTTCTCTTTGAGAAAGTCCCATATCTTCTCTCTCTCTCTCTCTCTCTCTCTCTCTCTCTCTCTCTACCCACTTGAAAAAGTTTCAAACTTCCTGCTGAAGAAGCTACCCATCCCGCCATGGAAATAACCACCGTCAATTTCCACCATCGAAAGTCCTTCAAGATGGACCCGCGCCCTCTGATGCTCAAGGACTACTTGCGGGATGACATGAGCTCCTGCTCGTCCAACGGCTTCCAAACCTTCCCCCGCCGACAGTGCTGCTCCACCGTCCGGTTCCTCCTCGAGATCGACCTCAAAGCGGCACCCTCGACCCCCTCGAAACGACGGCCGCGGACAAGCAGCCGGCGCTCTCCGGCGACGGCCTCCGTCCTGCAGAGAGCCTCCGTCAAGGTCCTCAACGCCATGAAGCTCCTCCAGTTCCACTCCGCCGCCAAGTCCCCGTCGGGCGACGTGGCGAAGAAGATCAAACCTCGCAGCCGCAAGGGGCTCCTGCCTCGGGGCCTCTCGCGGAAGCTGTGGAAGCGGAGCTTCTGGAGGAAACCGCACAGACGAGACGGCGGCTGCGGCGAGGAGGTCGGGCGGCGGAAGTCCATCGAGAAGCGGCCGCCGACGCCCGGCCGCAATGCCACGTCGGCGATCGCGCCTCACCGGTTATCCACGAGCTCCAGCAGCAGCAGCAACCTCCGGAACAGCAGCAGCTGGGACAACAGCGAGTTCACGGCGGAGTTGGCCCGTTCTCCGAGCGGCGACCCGGAGAGCTCCGGGCGACCAAACGAGGTCGTTTCGGAGGACAAGGGGTCGGCGCGGGGGGGACCGCACGATGAGAAAGTCGGCGACAAAGTAGGCGCAACGCACGGCCAGGATTCCATCACAGCAACCCCCAACTGCTCTAAGGTAAACACCAAAAGAGTTCGATTAAAATTTTGCTTAATTGCCTGTTACTAGCGACCAAGTGACGTGATTAAAACGACACCGGAGCAAATATTTAAAAAGTACAATATAAATAAATTTCTATTTTCACTTTGGCATAAATATCAATTCTTATATTTACTATATTTTTCTTTTATAAATCTCACAATTTCTATTTCCACTTAAAATTCTTAAGCAGGAAATGGTATTAGGGCATTGAATGTAATTCATGCAAATTAATGTTAATTTGTCTTTGACTAAGCTAAGCTTTTTAACTTATTTTGAAAGTAAAAAAACGAGGGGCCTACGTGGAAATTGCGCTAGACGGACAGCTGGAGGCTGCCATTTGCACGGCTCCCCACGTGCGGGTGTTCTATCTGCCTCGGGAAATGACATGGTATTTCTCGGGACCACGCAATAGAATCCCATCGGGCTTTTCAAGGCCCTAGATCCCGCTACGTGTAGACCTCTACGCGGCATCGACGGCGTCGATTAGTGCAAGACCATTAATATCCCTACCGCGCGAAATACTAGATCTCTCCGCCGTCTAAGGTTCTGTCAGCCCGCCACGTGTGCGGTGATTAGTAAAACTTTGTTTTTTTAGTACGGCACTTGATTTGCGTTAGGTAGTTGTAAAAATTTTGTTGTCGGTCGAGAAATGGAGGTTTCGATTTATATATAATATAATAAATTAGTTTAATTTATTTTATGTGCCATGGTTAGGTGCTGGTCTCTTGTACGTAGTAGCGAGCGGGGAAATTTAATAATGCCAACAATAACATAAATTAATCCGACCAAATTAGGTTTCAATGTAGATCGACCAAGTGGACAGATGTCGATTCTTGTCTGCTAGTAGCCTTGTCCCGCTCGCATAAATCTAAAAGTTCGTAAGCAGTTGTGGTGTGCATGTTGGGTCGTTGCCATTGGTTTTGAATTTTTTTCTTCATTTTTATTATCTGTAAAGTTCATATAATTGTACGACCCTCGTATTATTATTCTCGCTCCAAATCATTAGCCATGTATAAGCATGTGATAAGATCAAGTGTGACGAATAATTGGGACGTGATTGTTCGAATGATTTGAGTCCTTGTCCTTTTGACTTCTCTTGCTTTATTCATTGTATATGTCCATCTATGTAAAGGTGTGGCAATAATTGCATGGAATTAACGCTATATATTTCTTAAAGAAGGATGTCACCGGATTAAAATAGAGTTGGACTCCTCTAGAGTCAAGGACATGCGCCCATTATTTCATCTGGGGACGTGGAACGTGCCCTAGCATGCTCAGCATCGAATGAGCATGCATGTGCACTTTCTTGCTATTTCTTTTCGATCGCCCATAACATCATTGTGGTCGTCGTCGCTGTCGTCGCTTTTCACTATTTTATCTAAGTGCATAGGTTTGTGGCTTGAACCGTCCCGGTTGTGCGACGTACCATCCGGCTTTTCTTATCCTTGGTAATCAAATTAAAAGTGATAGAACCCAAATGAGGAGAAAAAACGAAGTGTTGAGGACCTCAGAGATTGTTTTGCATGAAAATTGAAGGTCCTATGTGCCCTTGGGGATCTGATCTACGGAAACTGGACAAATAAAGGGCCAGAAAGATCATTGAAATGAGAAGTATATGCGCTCTCTTCCATTGTGATGGCATTTCCCTATGATTTGTGTCAGTAAATGCTCTTTCACTCGATCATCTTTAGCTAAAGCCTTTCCTTTTTGTTTGTGCAGCAAGAATGGCCTAATGAGGAGAAGGAGCAGTTCAGTCCGGTGTCTGTCCTGGACTGTCCATTCAAGGATGACGAGGACATTGCTTCACCTTTTGAGTGGAGCCCCTCACGTATTGGAGGTCGGTCTGTCTGTCTGTCTGTCTCTCTCTCTCTCCATAATGAAGTGAACGAGCTTAGTTAATGAGTACATGGAATCCTTGTGTGGATTAAGTAACTAAAGTTTGATGTTTGTGATCAACAGGTGCTAAACAAAAGCTCGAGCACAAGGCGCGCCGGTGCAGGACGCTTTCTCGGTTGAGGCCAGTCCAATTGGAGAAAAGGATCACTTTGTCGGAGCTCGAAGATGAAGCTCCGGTGCAGTACTCGAGCTCGACCCCTAGTCCAAGTGTTTTTACCGAGGACCAAGGCAAAGAAAGCGAGATCGAAGAGAAGATTCGAGAGTTGCTCGATGTCGCTGCGGGAATTAATCCATCTTTCACCTCGAAAGTGGACATTCTCCTGTTGGACTTCTTCAGAGAGAGGCTGGAGGAGGAGGAGGGTGCGAACAAGATGGCGATCAGAGGATCGAACGAATTCGAGAGCAAGCTACTGAAGGTAGCTGAGGGTTGGATCAATGGACAACCGCAAGAAGTGTTTTTAGGATGGGAGGTTGAAGATGGCAGGCATGCTTACATTAAGGATATGGAGAGGAGAGAGAGATGGAGAAATGTGGATGAAGAAAAGATGGAAGTTGCTTTGGACATGGAGGTTGAGGTTTGGAGTTCATTGATGGATGAAGTCTTGCTTGATATCTTTAGCTGAATAAATTAGGTTGATTTTCCCCTTTTCTTTTTGGTTGGGAAGCATTCATGCTTCATGAGGTAGACAATTGATGAGAGCATTCACTAGTTCAATTTTGAAGTCTTGATTGGAAAGAGCTGAGAGCTCTCTCTTCTTTGTCCTTTTTCATTGGTATGAATCAATTCCTGAATGGTATCATTGCGCCACAAAATCATTCGCTCCATCGCGGAGGACCATGCCTTGAGGAGCAATACTGATTGCAAATGCTGGCAAAAGGCCCAGATGGGGTCAAAATGCATATAAAATGGCTAAATTAGTGGGTAAGAGTAGTAGGATATGAAAATGATGTTCAACCATCTTTTGAAGCCCTAATTTGAATTGATGTTCTACCATCTTTTGAGACTTAATGATTAGGGCCCTTCTTTTCCCACCCAAAGTTTTTGGTGAGTCCATGCACGGTGCAACTTGGAAGGTCATGTATCTCCTCCAAGACGAACCACCGCATAGGAGGTTTTGGGAAACTGCCGCGGCGGGCGGTCAGTCAAGTGTAATAGGGGTTGCTCTCACATAGTTTAGAGCTCCCCGAGCACGAGTTTGAATCATCCAATCGCTCTTCGGTCTTGAAAAACCTTAATTTGTCCGGAATGTAAACGAGATTGGTGTGCTCCTTTCCACAACTTTCAATTCACGAAGACAATTGGGTTTTGGAAAAGAGTAGATGTAACTCAAAGCGAAACCGGTTCGGCTTATAAAAACTAAGTCTTATGTGTAACGTATCGATTGAATGCGTTATATACGCACCATGCACGTAAAGTTTCCGATCAAATGAAACCCACGCAAGGTAATGTGTTATTCGAGTGTTCACACGCACTTGAGTGCACATGACCAAGATGGATATGAACTTTAAAGTTTCATTTCCTTTTTTTTAATATGGGAATAGGAGGGGAAATTGTTGTTTTTGGACATTAATTGTCTATGGCCAACCTAGATATGCATTCGCTTTATAGTGGATAAGAGTTGTAGGATATGGAAATGATGTTCAACCATCTATTGAAGCCCTAATATGAAATGATGTTTCACCGTCTTTTGAAGCCCTAATATGAAATGATGTTCTACCATCTTTTGAGACTTAATGATAAGGGCCCTTCTATTTCCTCCCAAAAGTGCTTGAACGGTGCAACATGTAAGGCAATATATTTCTTCTAAGACGACGAACCACCGCACCGGAAGTTTTAGGAAACCGCCACGGCGGTCTATCAAGTATTATAGGGTTTGCTCTCATATAGTTTAGAACTCCTCGAGCACAAGTTTGAACCACCTAATCATTATTCAGTCTTGAAAAACCTTAATTTGTCCAGAATGTAATCGAGATTGGTTTGCTCCTTCCCACACTTTTAATTCACGAAGACAAAGAGGTTTTGGAAAAGAGTAGATGCAACTCAAAGCGAAATCAGTTCGGCTAACAAAACTAAGTCCTATGTGATGTATCGATTGAATGCGTTATGTACGCAACTCGCATCTAAAGTTTCAAATCAGAGGAGATCCACGTAAGTTTCAAATCACTCGAGTGCTCAAGTGCACATGAACAAGTTGGATATGTACTTTGAAGTTTCATTTCTCTCTTCTTTTTTTTCAATAATGAGAATAGGAGTGGAAATTGTTGTTTTTGGACATTAATTGTCCTATAGCCAAGCCAGAAGATGCATTCTTCGACAAAACAATAATCAATATGGGCTGGAGAGATTCTCCTTTCTTCTTGCCATTAAAGATTAGGCTCCTTGACAATAGCCCATAATTCAAAGGATGCAAAAGGCCCGATGTCGATCTTCATGATCCGACCCGCTAGACCTTAGCCAGTTCATCAGTCCACTAGCAAATTCTTCAAACGCCGCATGACACTGCACAAGCATGAATACCCCAAAAAGGATTGGAAAGAACAGTGATCCATCAAAAAGAGAAACAATAAATAGGCCAGAGGAAAAAACAGAGAAAAACCCAAGTGATCAAGAGGCATATGAACAAACACAAGTAGCTAAGCAATTCATATCGGAGTCAAGCTTGAGCTTGATAACATACTTTACTTAGAGTGATTAAAACTTGAATAGAGTCGAGTATGTGTGTCACAACGACTTATACATACCAAGTGTCTAAGTTGCCAGCTGCCCTTCGAACCGAGATATCGTCATTAAGGTCAAAAGTAAAGGCACGTGATGCAAAATCACAAGCAGCTACACATATGTTATTGGCATTATCTTTTTACTTCCTAGAACGAGCAAGTTCGTCGTGCATTTGATTGTGCAATCAAATGCTATCCTAAGAGTCATTCTTGATCACAAAGAGCACAAGGTATTCTTCATTAAAGAGTATGCAATCGTTTCATATTGTCTTTAATGTGCAAAAATTCTTGTAAGTATTGTAGACATGGATAAAAATGCTTATGCTTCACTTCTATTCAATGACCTCGAAATTTTCATTTAAATCCACTCTTGTAACAACTTAATCAGGTTGTTCTAGATCTTGCGTTCGAGGATGGGAATATTTTGCACTTAGTTGACGTCGAGCTTAAAAAATGCTATCTATCGAGCTAAATCAGACAAAACCGGTTATACTGACTCGATTCGAGCGCGTTCCGCTCCATAAGTTCAGTTTCATTTGCCTAGTTGATAAAAAGCTCTAACTTCATCTCTAGACCACAAAAGCCGGGTAACACGAGTAATCCACGAGTCCAGTAAACTTTCCTTTTTCTTTTGAATAAGGAATTCATCTATCGGATTGCATAATTTCGGATTGCTTGTTAGATCAGACGCATGAAATCTGCTCGTGCATGATCCTCTGCAATCGTGAGAGGACAGTAGCACTAAAAACATTTTTTTGACTTTAAGAGTGAATATGCTAATACACATGCCTAGATTAGAGATGTTTTTTTTCCCTCTTTCTTCCCCACATAACATCATCGTTGTATCATTTCTACATCATTACAAAGTGCAATCCTAGTACACTATCTTGGTACTCAAGAACCACTTCAACAGGAAACTCGACCTACTTTTCTGTCTCTGTTCCTAGAAAAGCACGACCCCTTGTTTGTTTCTCTCTTTTCCTGCTGGAAGGAAAGCATGACTTTTAGACCTACCTTCACAAAAAGTCCAGCAGGAACAGTCACACCAACCTTCAAATAAACTGAACCGCCTTTCACTTTCCAGATCGACATGATGATCTCCAAAAATAAGACAGAGATCGAAATCTCTAGAGCCATATCCCTCAAAAAGTAGTAGTAAAGTGGGATGATGAGCAGGGCAACAAAAGAGTGCAATAAATTACTAAACAAGATAAAAAGTGGCGAAAGACACTTCCATGATAAGCATCAGGTCCCATCTATCATGTTAGTATAATTTTGTGAGATTACTATCGATAATTTAAAAAGCTTAAATTGTTAAATGAATGCGTGATTTGATATTTTAGATATTCTAACGCTCCCCTCACTCATAAATTAGAATTTGACCTGAGATTAAGCGTGAAAATATATCGTAAGGGATTCTGACAAAACTTAAACTGTTAAATGAATGCGTGAATTAATATTTTATAATTCTAACACGTGTTGCATAAATCGAGAGGCGTGATCTCTATACGTAATTAGACGGGCCCATGTCGGATTTTTTCTTATTTTTCTTTTAAGAAAAGGTATGCTACTAGTCAAAGCTAGGCGAGATTGTTCTCCGATAAATAGATCAAGACCCAATTTTTTTAGATATTAAGGGCATGAGGACAATCGCCCATAATGAGCAAAAGCACTAGATCTTTGGATCTGAAGTTGGGGCTAGTGATGGCGACAATAATTGCAATTGCGAATTGAAGGTGCACTGTGGAGTGGTGGGCTCGCTATCGAATTTCCCTCGATTTTTAATTGATTTCGTACTATTTAAAATTCGCAAAACGACACAACCCAAGAATCACATTGTGATTCTACTTTGTAACCCCACTCGACATCCAAATACAAAGATTTGTCCGATTTGATTTCGAGATAATATTTATTAAATAACAATACCACGTGATTACATGTAACGTGAGGTCATACTGAAATTATATTCGTAATCAAATGAGTACACAAGCTGACGAATTAGTATCAACGCTAGCTAAGAAGAAAAGGACAATTGCATGTGTTATAAATGTTGTTGTCACGTACGGTTTAGTCTTATCCCTTCAACAAGGTCGTCATCACCATCATGTCATTGTTGAAGTAGCATAGTTATGTTTTTCAACAACTTCCATCATGGTATTTTGTGCCTAATTGTGCGAACGATTTTCACGAGTTATTTCTTTGTTTCTTTAGTCTGATTTTGTCCCAGAAAGTGCCGTGATTGTATATTTCAACAAGTTCATCATGATGTTTGTGTCTAATCGGGCAACTCGTCAATGACTTTCACAAGTCATTCGCGCATTTGTTTCGTTCGATTTATGTCTGGAAGGTGCCATAATTGTCATCTTTTACGAGTTCACTGTGATGTTTGTGCCTAATTGGGCAAGCAATGAACGATTTTCACGAGTTGTTTCTCATTTTCTTTAATCCGATTATGTTTGGAAAGGTACCGTAATTGGGCAAGCCATCAATGATTTTCCCAAGTCATTTCTTCAGTCTAATTGTGTCGCGAGGTACCATAATTATGATTTTAACAAGTTCATCATAAATTATACAGTATTTATCGGGAAACAGCATGCGAGGGACTAGCAGAAAGTTAAAAAAAAATTTACACATATCCGACCTTCCACCGAAGAACATCATTGAATAGAGTCGATTACATACCAAAAATTGTTTGGGCACTCGCGTTATGGGAGGAGAATCGATGGATCTCATTATTTCTTAACATGTGAATAGCATAATCCATTGAATTAATAAGCCTGTCGAATAACTTCTCCGATGCGCCTGAAAGGATCCGATTTTGAGGACAATCTTGACCGTCCATTTTGTCGGGGACATGGCAAAATCTAGGGGTGTCAGAACCGAACCGAAAAATCGAACCGAACCGAACCAAAAATTTCGTACATTTCGGTTCGGTTTCGGTTTCGAATCAGATCATCAAAATAAACCAATTTTTCTTTTCGGTTCGGTTTATTTTGGTTCGGTTCGAATCGGTTTGGATCGAACCGAACTAAAATAAACACTTC